TTGGGCAAAAAACCGACCCGTTCGGGTTACAGTTTACTGACCCGAATTTTGCTATTTGATTTGGATTAATCAGGTTTTGGGTCCAAGACTTCGGTTTCGACCCAAAACTGAACTTATACGGTTTCGTTTTCAATGGGTGAGCCAAAACCGAAAAACCGGATAGGCCCAACAAATAACTAAACTTTCTTAATTAAATATTAAAAAAAAAAAATGTAATCCTTGATTGATTGATTTCCATCTGATATTTAAAATATTTCAAATTTTGCAAGCGCATGCAATGTTTCTGCTTTTCGAGGTGCAAGTTTGACAATGTACTTTCTTTTTTAAAATTGAATAAATATTAACCAATATTTTAATTTTTTATATTAATTTTATTAGTTTTATTCCAACCATTAGACTCATTTATTAAATTTATTCTACACCATTAGATCATTTAAATCGAACCTAAAAATTAGGTAAAATCTGATTATTAAGTCTCCAAATTTATTTTAAATTCTTAATTAAATCTCTAAGTTTTTATTAAAAAAATAAATCCTTGAACTTGACAATTAAGGTAATTTAAATATTTTTTTTCAACATACTTAATATCAATTTGCCGTATAATTTACGTGGATAAGTTATTATTATGTTATTATTAAAACAACAAATATTAAGTTTATCTATACAAGTAAATTATAAATGAATATTAAATTTATCATAAAAAATAATTAAATATCTTAACTTAATAAATTTAAAAGTTTATTTTTTTTTAACATAAGAGAATTGATTTGAGGAGGGGAAGTTAATCCTGAGTATAAAACTCAGGACATGACGTCTTAATCCACACATTCAAACGAATGTCCACCAAACTAACACGAATTAAACAATTTAAAAATTTATTCACTTCAATATAAGTACAAGAGTTTAATAAAAGAATCTAACATAAGTTTAAGAATCCAACATAAAGTTTTGCCTAAAAATTATTTGGTTCTTTCCCTTTTTATTTATTTATTTATTTTATTTCACACTTGCATGGCCGTTTCTCCTCTTCCATCCCTGCCTCTTAGCCTCTATCCCATTGATCTCATCTCACTGAAATCCTTTCTTTTAACTCTCCCTTCCTCATAAGTGGCACAAACCCTTTCTTTCTCTCTTTCTCGATTTTTTCTCTTTAATTTCTTCTAATTTTTTTCCTTTCTCCAGATCTAGAAAGAGATCGAAATCCATTAGATAAGTGGTTGTTCTCTTGCCGTTGTTGCTGCCACCGCTGTTTCCTTTTCTCTTCATTCCCGATTAGCCCCTTCTTTGAATCACTGGCCAGTGCTTGTTTCGGTGAAAACCGAAACCAACACACACCGAAACTGAAATTATCGGTCACTGAACCAAATTGTTAATCTTTATTTCGGTCGGTGGATAAAATGAAAAACTGAAATGTCGGTTAACCAAAGGTTTGGGATAGCAACGGGAACACCTTCAAGAGAACAATCAAGGAACACACTCCCTCTTCGTGATTTTCGTGAAGATTTTTGACGGGAAGATAATTTTTACCGTCGTGCAGTTACTCACAAGAAATAGACAATGGAGTTCCCACAAGGCCACAAGATCTTCATGCCTTGCCAAACAGAATTTTTAAAAAATATTTATTAAGTTTTCTCAATTTTCAATGTCAAAATGTTTAGTGAGTTTGGTTTAATTTAAAATAAGTGAGGTTTAGAGGCAGTGGCGGAGGTAGAAAAAAATTTTGGGGACGGAATGAAAGATTGATGGCGAAATGGTTTCAAACTGGATAAAATAAATAAAAATTTGTAAATCATATTAATAATTTTTTAAAAATTTAGAGGGATCGAATGTCAGGACCCCTAGTTCAGTCGATATTTAAAAGTGAGTTTTGACTTTTTTTTAAACAACAAAAAGTAACATTTATTAAAAAGCAGAATAGAAGGGTCAACAGGTACTCTAATTCTATAAACATCTCAACTTGAAAGACATAAATTTACGAGAGCCGAACAGTCCTTATAATTTCTTCAATGGTAGAATAGCAGAGGTGAGTTTTGATTAAAAATAATTAATAGTTGAGTTGAATGCTTGAATTAAATATTTTACTTATTTATTTTTGTAAGAAATGAGAATTTCTATGGAGTTTTATAAGATGAGAAAAAATTTTTGCAAAATTTTAGGGGATAAAATATATACCCACGTCCACATCTGATTCGCATCTTAGGGATTACCGTCTACGTCCGTGGGAGTCTTGGCAAATTGCCATCACCACGGCCACAATGGAAAATTATCAATTTGATAAAAATTTAATGATCTAAATCTGAAGAATATAAAGACTATATTACGACCGGAATTTCCGTCGCTCTTTTTCTTCTTTTTTTTTTGTCTTTTTTAATTTTTGATGTGAAATACCTCGTGATATATAACTTTATTAATTTAGAAATATGTGAAATAAGAACATTACAATCCCCTAATATCATCCAGTACATATTGCATTATTGGACCTGGCGCTTCTTCAAGCCAGACCCCCATATCATCTATTATGGCTGCTCATCCCTCTTTTACATATTCTTCATCTTTTTATGATATCTTCTATTCCTCTTCCTATCTCTCTAATTCCCTCTTTGTTTCTTTATTTTTTTAGAATGGTCTTTTTCTAATTTGCTTAATTTTTGTGGTTTTTTGACTATATATATATATATTTGGGAGTAATTCCAAGCAAATTGCCTTCGTTTACAATTACAACCAAGTACATCTTAACTGGACAAATAAAAAGGGACAAGTTTATAATCAAGGAAACAAACCTTGATTGGTGACATGAGGATCAACATACTTTTATATGTAACGTTATTATTATGAAATTGTCTGATTAAAAAATATTAATAAAGTAAAACGAGGAATATTCGAAAAAGAAAAAGTAAAACAAGGTTTGAAATTCGAACATTCCAATGTCTGTCAAATGTCAATATTGATGCTCCTTAGCTAACCACGAGAACAAGACATGAAAGAAAAATCAAATTTTCCTTTCACAAAGTTAATGTTAGGTTGTACGTGGAGATTACAAAAATTAATTAAGATTTGTTAATTAACATTTCAACACAAACTAATTCTATATATAATACATGGTGGATCACTCTGCCATTTCACTTTCAAATTTCCCATGAAGAAACTATTCGTTTGTATAATCTTCTTCGCATTTCAATTCTTTAACATAGTTGCTTTTGATCAAGGTAATATCCATTCTTTCTCTACCTTTTCTTCTCTCTCTTTTAATGAATTTAGTTCATGTTTAGTTTAAGGGAAATAAAAAAGATGAGATGAGTCTTCTCTTCCTTTCCCTCATTTAATTATACTAAAATTATAAAAAAAAAATTAAAAAGAAACTTTCTCTCTCATTTCTTTCAATATTCTCCAATTTTTATTATTCAAATAGGAAAATTTATCTACCTCCCTTCAAATCAATCAATAGAGTATAATATAATCCTGCACTTTCTCCTATTTTTTTTTCAATATATATTGAAATTATTGTTCAATATGAAATTCTATTTTACTTAGGGCCAGCACTTACATGGACGAATGTGGATTGTGGTTTAAAACAAGACTCAGTAACTGGCACTAACGGACTAACATGGGTCCCAAACAAGGGTTTTGTCACCAAATCTGGTGTCAACAAGATTCTGTCAAAGCAACAACCTCAAGCAGAAATGACCACCCTTGAGTATTTTCCTAAACAAGCGGGTTCAGTTTGTTACAAAATTCCTGCATTCCCTGAAATTATCCAGGGTCACTCACTGGTTACCCTAAAATACCTTATACAAGCTGGGTTTTACTCTGGTAACTATGAGAATCTCAATCATCCTCCAACTTTCAATCTTACAATTGACGGCAAGTAATGGTCGACGGTGAACAATCTGAAGACTGATGAACCAATATACCACGAGGCTATTTACTCCACAAAATGGGCATCATTCATCAATTTGTGATTGAACCGAACCTCAGTCAAAGATGTGCCCTTTATATCTTCCATAGAGGCTGTCCCAGTGATGTTGAATGAATTGTACCAAGAAATGGATGCCGATGCTGCGTTCCTTCTAAGTTCTAATCAATAGGTTCAATTTTGGTGGTGATGAGGTCGGGTACACTTTCGATGAAAAAACTAAGATCATATTGTATCCTATAAAGACATAATTTAATTAATTCGCTATTTTAAAGTCTAAACTATATTATTTTATATATATATATATAAAAAAACACTTAGATAAGAGAACAACTTTTAATATTGAGAGTTCACTTCTTATTTAATAATTTATATTTTATAATTTTATATAATTTAAATTACAAAATATTTTTTTTCATAATTTAATAATCCAATAAATGATTTTATCATTTTTTTAATAGGGTTTGACGCGGTTAAATTTTGAATTAGTTGAGACCTAATGTAATTATCGAATACCGAAAGATTAATACAAAACAAAAATTACTTTTTAAGGGGTGAAAGTATTTATAAACTTTTTTATAGTGTTTTACCACGTGTTACACACATTTTCTATTAGTCTCTTTAAATTTATTTAGATGTATATAAATTTTATCATAATTCATACATGTACTCTATTTAAATTTCATGAACTTTTATTATGTTTATGGGTTAATTTGATCACTATTTCAACACATCTGAAATGATGCTCCTTAATCCTTTAGTGGGCCTAAACTTAGAGGTGGAGGAAGGCGTGAAGATGTATATGTACTTACCTTTACCAAAAGCAATGCCACCCTTTATTTCCTCCCTCTAAAACTTAAAGCCTTCTATTATTAAAGTCCTCTTGACAAAAGTTATAGCCCTGCAGCTCCTTTTTTTTCCCATCATTTAAATCTTATATCTTGCTTCCTTTTTTAAAGAGAATGATGCTAATTCTTTCTTCGTCATCTATGGCTTTACTCTTTGTCAAATAGGGTTTGATGTGGTTAAATTTCATATTAATTGAGACTCAATGTAATTACCGAATAGCGAGAAGTTAATATTTTTTTTCCATCATTTAAATCTTATATCTTGCTTCCTTTTTTAAAGAGAATGATGCTAATTCTTTCTTCGTCATCTATGGCTTTACTCTTCGGA